GTAGGGGAAGTTGGCAGTCTGAGTTCAAACATTCTTCTGGATGAGGTGATGGTCACCAGAAAGGCCAACTTCCAAGTAAGGCAAAACAAGTAAGGCAGGTCACCATGGACTCAAAAGGGGGTCCTATGAGCCTGGAAAGGACTGTGTTGAAGTTCAACTGGGAGATAGGCTGCTTCACATAGGGATACATCCTGTCCAATCTCTTAAGGAACCAGACCACCATGGGATTTCTAAAGATTGATTTATCCACAACTGCTGCTGAGATGGCTGCCAGATACACTTTGATAAATGATAATACCAACTCTTGCTGTTGGCATTATCAGCAAGTAGTCCAGAACAAGGGGAACTGAACAAGGACATGGACTTTTAAGATGGATGCCCAGGAAAGGAGAGGATGATCTCTCTTCTTTCTTCAGATTTTCTCTTCTTGACTCAATGTCATGAGAGGAGACTGGGATTGAGCAAGCAAAGTGATAGGTGAGTACAAGTTTGCTTGAAGGACCCAGAAGCTCCAGCTCTTACCCTGTAACTTTTACCTGGGTGGAATTCACACAACATCAGCAGCCATTACTAGATGTGGATAATGGGTTGCTCCACCACTGAAATACTGCACCAGACACACTCTCCGTCTAAGTCTCTAGTCTCCCAATGGTAGGAAAACAACTAGGCTCCTGCTTCTGACAGCCCAGCAAGCTAGCAGCCTTGACAGACTGTTCCCCAGCTGCCTAAAGGGGTCGCAGCAGAGCTGCTGCTTCGGTGCCTCAGAGTGACAAAAAGCCCTGAGGGAGAGGTGAGCACCCCTTATATGCCATAGTTGTTGCCAGGCAGATTAAGGTCAGATGACCCTCCCTTTTCCCGCTCCTTTCAGGACAGTGACTCTTCCTTTTCCCACTTTTTTTTCAAAACAGGGTGTCAGACACTCTCAACCACTTCTGAAATACCATAATGGCCAACACAAGAACCCTACCGTCCCTCCCCCAACACATGCTCCTCTGCTTGAGCTCAGGATCTGCTCTTGATGAGAAAGTTGTCTAGGTATGGGAAGACCTATAGCTGTCATTTGTGGAAATAGTACACTACAACTTCCATGCACTTGGTGAATACCTTCAGGGCCACCAAGAACCCGAAGAAGAGTACCATGAACCGAGATACCACAAAGCATAGAAACCTGTGGGATAGAATAATGGAGATATGAAAGTATGCATCTTTTTAAGTCAAGGGCAGCATATAGACCCTGGGATCAAGGGATTGAATGATGGAGGCCATGGATATCATGCAAAACTTCAGCTTTACAAGGCTACATCTAGACTACAGAGTTAAATCAGAAAAAGATACACAATTTGCGATTTTTTTCAAAAGAGGCTTTTCCGAAATTTGGTGCATCTACACGGCACCAAATTTTGGAAAACCCCGCTCTTTCGCCATCCCTTATGCCTTGCAGAACGAGGTTTACACAGGGATGGCGAAAGAGCGTGCCTGCTTTTTTGCAATTTTATTTGGAAAAGCAGACACGTTCCTTGGATGCGGCATTGCTTTTCCAGGATGCCTCCAGTATCCCGGAAAACTGCTGCAGTCTAGACGTAGCCTAAATGTGTTGAGATCTCGCAGATCTAGGATAGGTCTGAGCCCACTCTTGGCCTTGGGGATGAGGAAATAAATAGAATCCCTTGCTCTTGAACTCCTGAGGAAACTCCTCTATTGTTCCTAGAGCAAGGAGCAATTCCAACTCCTATAGAAGGAGTTGCTCATGAGAAGGGTCCTTGAAGAGGATGGGGAGGATAGGCTAGAGAAAGGGAGGGAGGGAATAGGACTGGATAGAATATCCCACCTCTACTATGCTCAGCACCCAGTGATCTGAAATGATCTGGGACCAGGTGCGGTATAAGAGGGACAGATGGTTCACAAAAAAGGCAAAGGATCTGGGATTTGCACTGCTGCTCCAACCTTGGGTGCAACTTCAAAAATTTGACTTAGGGCTGGGAGGCTGCTTCAACGAGCCCTGGCCCGAGGAATACTGAGAAGGATGCCTCCTAGTATTTCTGCTCTGCCATCTATTAAAGTCCTGCCTTGGGGCCCCAGAATAGAAGCAAGGAGTAAGCTGGAGCTTAAAGGGCTTCCTTTGGGGTGCCAGAGTGTGATTCCCCAAAGATCTGAAGGTTGCCCCATAGTCTTTCAAACTGTGCAGACTTGAGTCCATTTGTTCCCCCAAACAAGCCAGCACAATCGAATGGTAGGTCATGGATAGTGTTCTGAACCTCAGTTGGGACTTGGGAGCCCCAGCATCTGAAGCCACAAAACTCATCCTATTGTCATGGCTGTAGCCAATGGACCGGAAGGCTCTGTGACACAGCCACAAGATGCCAGAGGCTCAACAGAGGACAAGCTGCTAGAAGCCACAGCACTGGAGAACGCCTGAACCAGCAGAGTCTGAGCCCAAGGCAAAGTGGGTCTGAAACCACCTCATATGCTGTCATCATGGAGATGGTCAGTGCAGGTGCCAACGTTGTCAGTACTGGATTCCACTGATAAAGCATGACTAGAACTGGAGTCGATCGTATGGGCCCTTGCTGCCATCAGTGCAGTGCAGGAAGTGGTTGGAAGGACCTGCTCCATCCTGTATTCCAGAGGTGACGTGGCGTCGTTTTTGCTCCGCCTAGAAAAGGTTTCCCTGAGCCCAGGAATGGTCCTGGGTCATTTTATGGGATTTTCCCTCTTTAAATGGGGAAACATCAGAGCCTGAGTACAGAGCAATATCACCTACCAGATCCAAAGGCAACTACTGATCAGACAAGAGCCTCAATGGCAAAACAGTCCTCATGGCCGGCTCAAGAAGATGCTACTTCAAGTCTCTTGACATTTAAGCTCCAACTCCAGCCATGGACAGTAAGGGGACTGAAGGAGCCAGGATGGTGCTGCCTTTATACAGCAGGGAAAGGGAATGCCGCACCCTACAGGTACTGCTAGGCAACGTTCTCTGGCTCCAATATGCTGGAATAAACAGCTGGATATATTCAACTACGGTACACAACCTGAAAGCAAAGCAGAGAGGTAGCTCTTGTGCTTGTGCACCTCAGCAAGTTTCAAATTATGCAATTAGCTGCATCTAATGCACTTATTGGATCCAGTGTTCTTATATTTTGATGTATTCTGAAAAAGCCACTAATGCAAATTCTTATGTGCCCACTTGGTGTTTCTGAGAGAGTAGAAGGATTAGATCTAGACTGACTTGGAACCGTCCTTTTGCTCATGTGTGCTCAACACCTAATACAATGGAGCCCTAGTCGCAGAGGGGGCTCCTAGGTGCTATTGCAATATAAATAATAATCACAGCTGTGAGCAAAAAGTGGTGCATAATCTTAACTGCCCTAAATAGGCCCTTCTGGTATTGTGACTCCAAAATCCAACTAAGGTACAATTTCTCCCTACTTCGGATTGAAGAGCAATCAGGAGCAAATTGTGACTTCCACTATGCAAGTCCCATTCTGCTGGCTAGCCATTGGAGCAACAGCTTTGTCAATCTGCCTCTCAGCTGCTGGGGAGGAAGCAGACATATGGCACCTGCTTAGTTCTGTGGGCCCAGCAACCCAACATACAGGTATAAAGGGATGTACTCACTTCATTGCAGAGGCACTAAGGCTGGGTCTACATTATAGTTAGGTCCACATAAGGCAGCTTACATAGACGTAACTGTGTAGGGATCTATGTTAAATGTGGCTCCCACCAATATAAGTCACCCACTACATTGAATTAATAACTCTACCTCTGCAAGAAGTGTAGCATTTAGGTAGATGTAGCTAGGGCAATGCAGTGTCCCATGTACACATTACTTACATTGCCTGTTGGCTGCAAGCATGGACTGTCAGCACTGACCTCAAGCTGTCTCAGTACCCACACAGTCAGTTGGTGGAATTACTCCTGGTGAGGACACAAATCACCAACTGGAGCATAGTGTGGACATGAAACATTGCTTTAATTACTGTAGTGCTGTACATCAATGTGTCTACATGACAAAATTAAGACATGCCCTCAAAGTCACAATCTAGCTCTCAGAATCATTATCAGCAGGAGTATAGTACTTTTGCACTGCACATTGTGGAATAGCTTGTAAATATATAAAGGAATCCTGGATCTATCATTAGTCAAGATGAGATGCCTCAAGCAGAAGAACCCATAGCTATTAGCTGCTGACAAAATATGAATACAGTGAAATGTTTTTATTTCGGCATAAGCTTTCATGGGCATGTTACATTACTAATGTGTATATATACACACCTGCCAAACTGAAGTTTCCATTTAATGTTCCTGACAGAAGCTTATGCCCAAATAAATCTGTTAAGTCTTTAAGGTGCCATAGGACTGCTCTCTGTTTTTGCTGAAATAGACGAACATGCCTACCCCTCTGAACCTTCCCTTTGGAAAGTGTTATATAACAGCAAAAAGGGTATATTGCCCAATTATATTGCTTTTTAAAAAAGCTACAAGTTCAGTTCTCTTCCAGCATTTGAGAAGGGATGCATCCCCAAGGAAGTAGCAGACTTGTTATGGTTGTCAGAGATCTGGGTCCACCTTCCATAAGCACAAAAACAGTTAGGAAGATTAAATGCAACGATCTTCCTTCATTGTTTTACTCCATATTCTCTTATTCTTTGCCTTTTTACTACTTTTTGCTTTTCCTCTTCATTTCTATTTCTCTTTTTTGCCTTATTTATTTCTGTTAAGAGTTTGTCTCATTTTTTTCTTTTGCATATTGCTGGCTGTCCCCATTCCAAGTATCGCAGCATCTTCAGTGATGTTTCTATTGCAGCAGTTTTACTGTCCTGTGTCTCCTGCTGCTTTTCATTATGTTCCTGATAAAAAATTCTAATAATAGTAGTGAAAATGTTTTCTTACACATAAAGGACAACTAAAATTAGTGAGCACGGAGCTGCAGTAGAAACCAGTGTAGAGGCTCTGCAAACAAGTCAGAAAACACATCAGCAGAAAAAGAGCATTTCACAAAAACACATTGAAATTATTTTTATTTTTTAGAGGAATTAAAAAAAATATGAATATTGACATTGCATTTAAAAAACCTTGGAAGATTGTACACTGTCCAGTCTCACTGAAAATCCAACATCATTGAGCTGGAAATCACATTAAGTATCTCCACCAGAGCTTTGCTCAGTAGATATCAACATGAAAATTTCAAACTAAAGACATTTAAAAAAAAAAAGTCAGAATGCCTGAACCAGAAAGTGCTCTACACCAAACATATCAAAACCCACCACAACTCTGGGGGGCATGGCAATTTACAGCACTGTCAAAAAGTTAGACAAGTCAGCACAAACTGTGAAACATCTTACATAATAAATAATCCTAACTAAAGGAAGCCAGAAACACTTGAAGGAAATCTGATTTTGCAAATATCTGAGATTTTGTTTGAACTTTGAGAAAATTTTCCTATATGTGCTTCTTTTAGCTCCATTAAGGGTTTTTTTTTTAATCCTTTGTAAGTATTATATTACAGTTGTTCCTAGCAGAATAAATGTATAGAACTTAGTGGATATGGCTGGTATTCCCTTTTTCTACATCAAAAATAAGGTAAATTGATCTCAAAATAGCGGACAGGTTTATCAGTATCTCAAAACTGGTGTGGATGTAAAAATAAGTGATTTTTTGAAAAAATGAATTTATAACCATGATGATGCAAGCATTTGATTTGTTCTTCACTAGGGTTAAAGCAGTACATACACATAGCTGTTTTAAAATTACATTTTTTCCATGATGTCAGGTAAGGAAAGCTTTCTACAAAAACTTTGTAATTTTCACTTTCTTGAAAGCTTTTTCAGCTGCTAGAATGATTCAATAATTCAGACTGCTTGGTTACAGAAAAGACAAGGGATTAAAAAAAATCTTGATAATAACAATGTGAAATGCTAAAGGCTTCTGAGGATGAGAGAGAAGTGGGTTAAAAACAATGGACTATCAGGAAGCTATCACATTCCACCGCTGCAATAATGGTCAATGTTTGTGGAGTTGACTTACAAATCTAATTTTTTGTCTAAAGCCATTCTCTAATAGTATAAAGACAATAGTCCTGGAAGAAACACATTAAATGTATACATAACACTATACAAATATGTCAAACTTCATATTTCATTGCAGAAGTAATTTCTCTTTTAGACTGAGATAGGAAATGCAAAGGTTTAACTATTCTATTCCTCAAATAATAAACAAATAGGAAGTAAAAAACAAATAGAAAGAAAAAAAATAAAAGATGGGGAAAATATTCATAAAGCCAAATTTTAATTGTGCTAAGACACAATTCTCCACTTTGATCAGCACAGGACTCTCACTGTTATCAATGGCCCAGGTTTTGCAGAGAGAGAATGCATATGGAATAAGCCACAGAGATGCTATGGAGTAATATGCCCTCATGTTGGTCTGTTTTACTACTCCACAATAAATTGCACAGGTGTGGACTACCCGTAAAACGTGAGGCTATAAGTACACCTTAAATTCCAACGCAAAGCTGAAATCATTTAATTTACACTAAACTAGAATGTCAGGACAATTAAAATCTGTTTTATTCAGTAGTTTTACAGTGAAAACTATATAAATTATACATTTCAATTAAATCATGGCCTGACAAAACTAATCTGCTTTAAGACTGCTAACCTTAGTGAAGAGAATGAGATCTCAGCAAATACCAATTTTGTGTTAAAAATGTTACCAAAGGAAAAAAATAAAAATATCTTAATTTACTATAAACAGTGGGAACACCAAAGACAATAGAAGCTTCGAAATGTCAGACTCCAGCCACTGGCAGACAGGTTACGCCAATTATTTACAGAACTTTGTATCTTCCTTTGTTGGTTGGCTGGTATGAATTTTGCTGCAAATAAACAGGAAAAATAAGTCAATCACAGCTCTAGCTGAAAACAGACAAGTGAACAGCTGAATCATACAGAATTAGAATTGCTCAGCATTAACCCTTTCTTTGGCAGTTGGAAGGAACTTTATATAGAGTTACATCAAGAGCAATTGAACACATGAACTCTTGAGCTGAGAAGTATCTGCTACCAGGAGTTCTTCCTGAACCTAATACAATGTTATTGGAGGTTACTCCACAGAAAGCCAAGGCTTGTGCTTCTGGGTTGAAAACAAGGAGGACAATAAAACTGAAAGCAGAAGACTACTGCTTCAGAGTGTGCTATGTGGAGGAACAGATGGAAAGGAAAACACACCCCAACACAGTACAAGCAGTACTAAAAGAAAAGTTGAAGATCAATCTGTTACAAGCTTAGCTCTACCTGATGTAGCTAAGGTCAGGAAATGAACTGGTTTGTTAAGTAGGAACTAGCCTTTATGGAGGCTCAATGTCATAACATTCTGTTGATGTCTTTTGTCTGCATAGAATACCTATGAGCCAGTGTTCCCTGTATGCTGAGCACTTGGGCGGCCACCCAGGAGAGAGTCAGGTACCACCCAGCGGATTAGCAGAGTGCCCACAGCACGGGTTTCTATTGGTAGTGCACATCTGCACATGCCTTGGTATACATTAAAAATTATTCTGCACATACATGGAAAAAATTAGAGGGAACACTGCTATGAGCATATATTGATCCACAGAAGAGAGAAATGTGTTTTCTTAGCCGTTCATCTGTACAATACCTTTTATATTTATAGCTTCCAGTTCCAGATAGTAATACATATTTATGCTCTAGTGCTTGTATACCATTTTTGAAGCATGTTCTTATAAATCTTTAAAAAGCCAAGCACATTCTTCTGAAATATAGTATATTCCACTTACCAATCTGATAAGTTCTTCTTTTATAAGTCTAGTGATTTCCGCTTTTGCTTTCTGCACAGCGAGTTCATTGGCACCTGGAGACACAACAGGAAGAAATAAAGTACTCATCTTTTCCCCACACAAAGCCTAAGGAGTAAAACTGCAAGTTATTTCTAACACCACCATATAGGTTGCCAAACACATTCTAAAACTTTGCTATTAAATTGTTTACTACAGGTTGGACCTCCATGTCCAGCATCTTCAGGACCCGACTAGTCCCGGATGAGAGATTTTGCCAAACCAGAAGAGGTCATTTCTGTCCCCCCTGCTACTGGCTCCATACCCTGCCCTGCCTCCCCACTGGGTTCTCCCTCCTGCCCACAGCCCAGATGAACTGTGTGCTCCCTGGTCTCCTTAGGCAGCTTAGCTAAGTCATGTGTGCCAGGCTTCTCAGCCCCCCTCCACAGCCCTACTGGGCTGTGTGCCGGCCTTTCCCCCACTCCAGCCCAGCAGGGCCACTCACCGGGCTCCTGGCCTCCCACCCCCCTACAGCATGCCAGGATTCTCTGATCTTGAAACATTGTTGCTGGACCAGAGTGTCCCAGTTTATGAGGTGCCCATTACCATGGCTGTTTGTTTTTTTTATACGATGGATATACTTAACATTTCAAGTCACATTTTACACTACATGCAAACACCTAAAACAACAAGTTATTTCGCAGACAAACTCATTTCAGCAACAGAGCATGCCAGAGTAACCATAAGATGAACTGGGCCATAAGCTGCATGCAAAAGATTAGAACAGATATGGTATTGCCGGATAACTGCACAATTTTGTCAATTCTCTATGGGTATGTCTACACTACCACCCTAGTTCGAACTAGGGTGGTTAATGTAGGCAACCGAAGTTGCAAATGAAGCCTGGGAAATTCAAATCCCGGGCTTCATTTGCATCTTGCCGGGCGCCGCCATTTTTAAATGTCCACTAGTTCGGACTCCGTGCCCGCGGCTACACGCGGCACGGACTAGGTAGTTCGGATTAGGCTTCCTATTCCGAACTACCGGTACTCCTCGTGGAACGAGGAGTAATGGTAGTTCGGAATAGGAAGCCTAATCCGAACTACCTAGTCCGTGCCGCGTGTAGCCGCGGGCACGGAGTCCGAACTAGTGGACATTTAAAAATGGCGGCGCCCGGCAAGATGCAAATGAAGCCTGGGAAATTCAAATCCCGGGCTTCATTTGCAACTTCGGATGCCTACATTTAACCACCCTAGTTCGAACTAGGGTGGTAGTGTAGACATACCCTATGTTAGCTCAAATAACGTCTCCAGGTTTTCTCTAATTTTTTAAGCACTAAGCAAATTCTTGTTTCTTTTTTTAAAATTATTTTCATATACAGATACCACATAAACACCTTCATGCTGGGTGGGATGTGAAGATCTCTTAGGACCTACATCACTACAGCTCCATGAGCCAACTGGAAAAAAAACCTATCAAAACAAACAAGTGGCTTCCCTAGGTGCCCATATTTCCATAACCAAAGTTAGTCTGCCAGTGAGGATCCAAAGGTTACTACCAAAAGGAGTCTCATGCCTAGTCCAGCCTGCACTAGGGACATCTTTTTAATGCAAATATGTGTGTCATACTTACTCTCTATAGCCAAGTAAATTTTTCGTTCTCCTTCCTTAGGCTCTTTGCCTGGAGGGAAATATGTTCCTCTGATAGTAATGGCAGCTTCTGAATATTCACTGATTCTCTGCAGAGCTTCCTTGGAGGTAACCTTCCATCTAGCAGTCTATACAAGAAAAAGGTATATGAAGAGAGGCACAGAGAAAGACATTTTATAAAAGAAGAACCAGAGGGCTAGCTGACATTCTAGACAGAAAACTTAGCAACAAGATTACAGATAGTGAGAACTATTTAATCAGAAATGTCTTCCATGGCAAATGGATTTTAACCAGTTTTTTAAAAAATGAATACCCACATCCAAATGAACTTATACCACAAAAGACATCAGTACAGGTTGGACCTCCCTGGGTCCTGAGTGGTCCAAAGGAGGGATTTTGCCTGACCAGAATAGGTGATTTCTGCCCCCCCCACTCCTACCAGTCCGACTCTGCTCCTTGTCTCCCCTCCCAGCAGGTTCCCCATGTTCCACCAGCCCTGCTGCCCTGCCACAGCAGCCTATGGTCCCGCCACTGGGGCTCTCAGCTTCACTGCGGCAAACAACTAACCTGCCACTGGTACTCCTGGCTCTGCCAGCCCACAGTCCCACTGCCTGGACAACTCTACCTCCCCAACCCCGGCTGACAGACTGCTGCTCAGCTGCCAGGGTTCCCGACCTCGCCAGCCCTACTGCAGCAGCCCCGCGGTCCCGTTGCCGGGGCTTCTGGCCCCATTGCAGCAGACTGCTGCTCCACCAAAGTCCGCTGGCATTCTGGCTGCCCTGCCACAGGCTCAGCAGGGCTTCCAGCCGCTGGCTTCCCTGCAACAGGATGTTGCCGGACCAGGAAGTCCTGGGTGAGAGAGGTTCAACCTGCATTGCTATCCCATGCGTCAAGAAAATAATGAGAAAGAGGGAGAAAAAAAAAAGTGATGGATGTACAGGGCCACTGAAACAAGCTCCATTTTACTCTGTGGGAAGTTAAGAAGCCTGAAGTTTTAGAGTACTTCATTCACTTAGACACTGTTTCTATTGAAATCTCAATCTATTAGACACACAGAGTTAATAAGATAATAGTTTGTCTCATTCTTGAAAAGAATTTGTATCACCTACTACATTCTAGGATGGGAAGGTGGGGGGTATGAAGAACAAACTCAGCACCAGGATGAATAAGGTTCCGCAGGGGCCAGTTCTGTTTTGGAACCAGTTCTGTTCAATACCTTCATCAACGATTTAGATGATGGCATAGAAAGCATGTTTACTGAGTTTGCAGATGATACCAAGCTGGGAGGGGTTGCAAGTGCTTTGGAGGATGGGGTCATAATTCAAAATGATTCGGACAAACTGGAGAAATGGCCTGAGGTAAAGAGGATGAAGCTCAATAGGGACAAATGTAAAGTTCTCCACTTAGGAAGGAACCATCAGTTTCACACATACAGAACGGGAAGCAGGAAGGAATACTGCAGAAAGGGATCTAGGGATCATAGTGGAGTACAAGATAAACATAAGTCAACAGTGTGATACTTTTGCAAAAAAAAAAAAAAAAAAGCAACCGTGATTCTGGGATGCATTAACAGGAATGTTGTGAGCAAGACACAAGAAGTCATTCTTCCACTTGACTCTGCACCTATTAGGCCTCAGTTGGAGTATTGTGTCCAGTTCGGGGCACCGTATTTCAAGAAAGATTTGGAGAAGGACCGGACAAGAGCAACAAAAATGATTAAAGTTCTAGAAAACGTGACCTATGAGAGAAGATTGAAAGAATTGGGTTTGTTTAGTATAGAAAAAGAAGACTGAGAGGGGACATGATAGCAGTTTTCAAGTATCTGAAAGGGTGTTACAAAGAGGAGGGAGAAAAATTGTTCTCCTTGGCCTCTGATGATAGGACAAGGAACAATGGGCTTAAATTGCAGCAAGGGAAGTTTGGATATTAGGAAAAACTTCCTGTCAAGGTGGTTAAACACTGGAATAAATTGCCTAGGGAGGCTGTAGAATCTCCATCACTGGAGATATTTAAGAGCAGGTTGGATAGATGTCTATCAGGGATGATCTGGTGCTTGGTTCTGCCATGAAGGCAGGGGACTGGACTTGATCTCTCAAGGTACCTTCCAGTTCTAGTATTCTATAATACAGCTCATACTGTAGTTATATTCATGCAATTTGAATCCTGAGAAAACTAACCCAACTATGCTAAACATTTACATCGTATTTACATTAGAACTACAGGGAAACAGCAAAGTCAGGCAATTATTCATAACAGAATAACGCCATGCCCCAATGAGATCAGGGCCTCAATGCATTAAGCAACGTACAGATGTAGAGCAAAAAGTAGTCCCTGTTCTAAAAGGTTGACAGTGGAAATATTGTAGAAGCATAAATGGCAATTGGACATGTAATTCCCATTGACATGGAGTTAAGTGCCTACTTTTATGCCTCAGAAAATTCCTTAACAATCCAAGTTTAAGAGCAGATATAATAGTCAAGAGATGTGGGCCTGGACCAGAGTTATGGTAATGAGGACAAAGAAAAGCCAGATCTTTCTAATATTATACAAGAAGATGTGGTAAGATTTTTATGTTAACAGGATTAAGGGCATAGCGCCACATCTTCATATGATGAGTGTCTAAAGGATGATGCATTTCTTGCGCTAGGAAAGAATGTCAATAGATACATGGTGCAGATTATACAACTGAGCTAATGTCATGGAGTTTTATTGGATATGGCTGATAAAGATCTACAATACAGATAAAACCTCAGTTGGAATGAGCACACATCATCAACCTGTATAAAGAGTCTCTAGGAAAGCATTGTGTTTAGTGACTGGCATTAAAATATGATTAAAGAAAAAATTGTTACTTGCCTGTGGGAAATCATTGATCTCTAATTCCTCCTCATATCTCTTAAACGATTCATTCTGTCCTCCCTCCTGTTTTTCTTCCTCTTGTTTTTCTATGGGTACATAATTGAGCTTGGCATTTATCTTTTCAGCCAGTTGCTCTGCAATAGTTTTGGCAGATACAGTAGGAGCCTGAATTGTGCCTCCTCTCAAGATTGCATTTGTAGCCTGCTGCATCACATCCTATAATAAACAAGTCCACATTCATTACAAGGTTCCCAGAGGTAGCATCAGAAAAATCTGGCTTTTAAGCACCTGACTTTCATTACAAAACGTCTACACATAGTAAATGGCAGCTTCAATACAGGCAGTCCCCGGGTTACGTACAAGATAGGGACTATAGGTTTGTTCTTAAGTTGAATTTGTTTGTAAGTCGGAACTGGCTCCACATTCAGCCGTTGCTGCTGAAACTGACCAGGGGCTGACTACAAGAAGCTGGAGGCAGAATTGCTCTGCCCCCAGCTTCCTGGAATCAGCCACTGATCAGTTTCAACAGCGGCTGAATCTCGAGCCTGGGACATCAGCTGGGCTGCTCTGGCAAAGCCTCAGAGGCGCAGGACCCCTCTGCCTCCCCGGCTTTGCTCCAGGTGTCCCTGGTCTGCTGGAGACGGTCCCCAGCAGACCAGGGGCACCCGGAGCAGCTTTTCTCGCCCCGGAGGTCGAGGTGGCGGGACCGCTACGCTCTGGGCGGTCCCGCTGCCTGCGAGCTCCAGGGTGAGAAAGCCCCGTTTGTAAGTGCAGATCCGACATAAGTCGGATCCGCGTAACCCGGGGACTGCCTGTACTTTCCTTCTCCCCAAAAAAGGCCCTTGCTGCATTTTCAGCTCTAAAGGTTATAGACATTCCAGACTATCAGCAGCAAAACAAACTTTAAGTTTAACCCATTCCATACACTTCTTGTCCAATTACCAAGCTAGGAAAATGAGCACACGCTACCTTCCTTCAATGGAACTAAAAACCCTGTAAAGCCTAAGGACTACTCTAATAATATACTTAGTTCTTTATTTCATCCAAGACATTATACATTGTGAACTGAAATAATCTAACATTAAACCAGAAGCTCTCTTACACATAGTAGCTTTCATGACAATATATTCTAAAAAACTTAAACTTTAACATCTGTAACAGGAGAGAGAGTTGACTGATGTTAACTAGGGGTAAGAGTTGAATTAATATCTCTGGGTATGTCTACACTAGCTCGTTAATTCGAGCTAAGTAGGCAAATCAGGCAACCGGAGTTGCAAATGAAGCCCGGGATTTAAATATCCCAAGCTTTATTTGCACGTTCCCGTCCGGCTGCCATTTTTAAATCCCCCTTAGTTCGAATGAACTGCCCGCGGCTACACGCAGAAGTTTAAAGTTAATCCGAACTAAGTCCTTAGTTCGGATTAACTGTTCCTCCTCGTAGAGTGAGGTGTAACAGTTAATCCAAACTAAGGATTTAGCTCGGATTAACTTTAAACTGCCGCATGAAGCCGTGGGCAGTTCATTTGAACTACGGGGGATTTAAAAATGGCGGCCAGATGGGAACATGCAAATAAAGCCTGGGATATTTAAATCCCGGGCTTCATTTGCAACTCCGGTTGCCTGACTTGCCTACCTAGCTCGAATTAACGAGCTAGTGTAGACATACCCTCTCTTCCTTTTCTGGACATTCAGACATTCATGGTGACTATGTTGACTATAATGATGGAAACTTCAAAACTAACAAACCATCTCCTGGAAATGCTACTAAAGTTCATATACATTTAAAATTAAATTACAGAGTTCTACAAGCATGACAAAACATTGTATATTATATACTTCAGGAGACACAGGCATTTTGTAATTCTAATAATGTTAACAAACTGGTTAGTTGCTCTTGTAAAAGTAGCTATATTTAACCCCTTTGTGCCAAACCAGATCAGGGATTCCAGTTTTTGTGCTAAAGCATTTTGTCACAACAAAAAGATTACAAAACTGACAGTAAAAGAATTATATGGTTTACTGTTAAATATCGAATAAAGAAGCTTTTTAGAACAATACTTTAACATGGTTGTAAAACAAAAATTTAATACATTCCACTAAACAGTTAGTAAAAAATTGTTGGTAAAGAGAATGACCTTAAAGTGAAAAGGGACCAATACTTGTGCCTCTGCTCCAAGATTCTTCTGAGCATTAATTCTTAAAGCTAGTCTTTTGGCAATTTCCAGTTTTTCTGCATTACCAGCTGTTGGTGTAGGCACATTAGATGTTCCTGGTGCTGCCATGTCTTTTACTCTCTTTTTTGAATTGAACATGCTCTCAATTTGTTCATCAATCTAAGGAATAGATCAATAGTATCAATACATTTAGCATTACGCAATTCTTGTCCAAATATAGTAAGAAAATATCAGTGTGCAATCACTTTATTTTTCAAAAAATAAAATTTGAACCTTGCAACAATAAACGCTGACTAAGCTTGCACAGAACTGCAGTGAAACAAAGGGGAAGGATGATCTTGTGGTCAGGAAACAGACTGGGCATCAGGAGACTGGAGATCTATTTTTGGCTGTGCCACAGATTTACTTTCTACCTGTAACAAGGCACTTATCTTGAGTCCTTCAGTTTCAGATTAATTAATGATAAGCATTTTGAGATTCTACCATGAAAAGTGCCATTTAAGATCTTTAAGTAATCTCATACTTTAGTTTGCTTAGGGAGGAGTGGGGAACAGTGTTCACATTGTGGTTTTTGAGGGAAGATTTCTAAAAGCAGTTCTTCAGCAGCCCTTGTGTCAGCAGTTAATGCAGTAATTTCCCAGTTCATGGAAAAGGTAGCAAATATTAAGGGAAAGTATCTAATATGGCTCTAGAAATGGGAAACGCTATTATATATTTTTTTTAAGCACTAGGCTACAAGAGTATTAACTTTGCAAAAGTGAAAAAGTGTTTGTGCCCTTTTGAATCAAGTAACATCCACATTTACATTATTTATAAAATATCAGTAAGTGACAAATGACAGATTTGTAACTCTTTAGAAGGTTTATACTTTCAGACGTTAAAGAAAGCACAGATTTACATGAGATTTATCTAGTAAATTAGAGGGCTGTGTGGAATAGCATAAATCCAAGCATTCAGCAATTTGTAATTAGACTGGGTTGTATTTTTATGAATTATTATAGGGAATATAGTAAAATTGATAAAAATGTAAACAATTTTTTTTAATGCTTACATCAAGAGCAGTATCTTCATCATCTGAATCCTGAAGGCCAAGAGCAGCTTTTTGTAGTTTCTTTCGCTCATTAGCCAAGGCCTGTTCTGTTTCATCAAACTTGAATCCTTTGCCAGAGAATCCACTGCTCTTTTTAATAATTTTCCCCTCCTATAAAATAAGTATGTTTATTTTTAAAAGTAACTTGAAACACTACAAGTTTTATAACACAGTTCTAGAAATAGTAAAACAATTGTAAATAAGGTTACTTAATTGCTAATGATGTTAAATGAAAAAATAATAAAATAAAGACATTTACCAGGCTTTTAAACCTTGAAACAATTATTTTACAAAGAAAAGTTTAACAGTTATTTAATATAAACTGAAGAGATGTAAGTAATAAATATTTTGTTTTTGAGTAATGTAAGTGTATCAAATTAAAATGTTTTCTAAAGTAACCGAATTTTCACTTTGGTAGACAACACATAATATTACATTTGAAACATTATGCCCCAATACTGTGATGGAGTGAATACAAATAAAATACAAATGCTACAATACTCTCATTGTCTAATATACGATTTCTGACAAAATAAGGTCTCGAGACTGCTCACATACGCATGGTTACAACAGTGAAATTCACAAGAAAACTCTTGAAAACACGTCAGACCCCAATCCTGAAAACATTTAGCACCTATTTAACCGTATACATGTTGCCCCAATGCGGTCAGTGGGACTATCCAGCATGTAAAGTTGTGTGTGCAGAACAGAGACACAGGAGTACAAAAGCACAACTCATCAAAAAGGAAAAAGGTTACTTGCAGCCTTCTGTTGATCTTTGAAGTCACTCCAGAGCTTCTCCAGCTCAGCGGGAATTGGTTTTCCTGACAATTCCAAAGCCTTAATTATATCACCAGCATACCGTGCTTGATCTTCAGTAATGAAGGTGAAGGCATACCCCTAGTCAGCATTAAATTAAAAATTAGAGGTATTAAACAAAAATCCATGAAGACTGTGTCCTCTTATTCTTTAAAGCATCTTAGCACAGGTAGTACTGTTAAATTTCATAAAAGTAAAACTGCATTTTTTACTTGAACTTCCTTTTAAGAGAAATATAAACTAACTGTTTTTCTTAGCATGTAAACTGATAAAATCTTTCAACTGCTCATCATGAAATCTAAAGCTTTCTATTTACATCTGGTCATGGCTGTAAATCTGTAACACTAAATCTTCCAGGGTCACACGTGAACATTTCCAAGCATGAGCAATATCAAATGATCAACAGAGACAAACTCTTGGGGAACTCTTACTTCAATAAGCATTTCCTCATTTTCACACAAATTTGGTACAGAACAGGCGTTTGAGTTTTAAAATTTAGACCACTGTCTTACATGTGATGCTTCTAAAAACCTCAGCGCCTAGGAACAATTCTCATCATATACCAAAAACATTCTCTTATCCCAATCCCCATTCTGGAAAACTGTATTAGACAAACAAGGCAGAGGTCTAAATACAGTTAAGAAGAATTACTTTTACATACTTTGTTGCCAGCTCGTCCAGTTCGGCCTGCTCTGTGCACATAATCTTCATAATGGTTGGGACAGCTGTAATTGACTACCAACATTAGTTGCTTTACATCCAGGCCTCGTGCTGCTACAGATGTGGCCACAAGAAGTTTGCATACTCCATTCTTAAAATCATTAATTATGCTGTCTCTGTCATATTGATCAATACCTTCAAGGAATCACACAAAATAGCTGATTTTTAAACAGTTTAATTTTATGCATTTATTTGCTTTCAATTTTCAGTAAAAAGTATCCTTATGCAGGCTGAGAGAGCCCTCACCAATTATTTAAAGTGTCAAAATCTAATACAAAATTCAATTAACTCCAGAAACTAAATGGTTTATTGTTCTGCATGACATTAGCCTAAGCAAATTATATATACTCCACTCTGTATTCTAGAGGGGTTTCTGTGACCTACATTTTTAAATTACTACTTGATGACAGAGAAATGAAACTAGTTTTGTAGACTCTAGAAAAATCCATTTTATGCTCCCTCTACCGGTCTCCAATAGCAATGAACTACTACTATCTCAGAGATGTATTCCTGCCAAACCAATTCATAAACTTGCTGCATAAAGAGATATTTTGGCATGTTATGGTGTTTTTAACTTATAAAATGCCAAGTCAATTGCAGTTTTATTCAAAATGTTAGAAAACTATGTGTGCGCCAAATGAAAGGCCTTAATTGCAAGGGAGAAAATATTCCAAGGTTTAAAATGGTACTGCATGGAAATAAAAAATTGCAACATTTAAAAAAATACCCAATCCTATTATTCTAGTTAAAAACAATGTAAGTCCTTAAGATTGCACTCTACCTCCATGAAGTGACATGCAGGGATAAGAGGCTCTCATTAAATCTTTCAACAATCCATCAGCATGTTCCTGTTTATCAACAAATATGATGACAGATCCTTTCTCCTGATAATGCCCAAGCAGTTCAAGTAACTTTAGGAACTTGCTCTCTTCTTCTATCACAATCTGAAAAGCAAATAGAAAAAAAAATAGCTGAGACATTGCCTGTTCAAATGGACTGTGGGTATTACAAACACTTGAAAACACGTAAGACAAATTGCACACTATTCCTTTTATTGAGCTTTAAATGGGGTTTTACATCCCTAATCAATCAGTTAAATGTTATATTTAACCAATTAACTGCTTAAACGGGTTGGGCAGCATGGCTGGACTGGAGTGCCCCCTGCCTACAATGGGCTGCTCTGGCCAGGCTGGGCCCATCACGGGCTGCTCCAGAGCCAGTTAATCTCTATCACTACTAGGTCTGAGTATACAAATATTGTGAACAGAAGTTGGATTTTCTTTGTGCTGCATCCAAGATAGAAGTGGAAGCACTAAAGCTTCCAGTGAACAAAGCTGGTCAAAACCAAGTAATGAAACTAGTTACAATACCATCTGCACAGTCTGTGTATTCTTGAGAGTGAGGGAGAGTTAATTACAGAAGACTAGCACAAGGCATTGCTGGGGAAGCCTAACTAAAGGAGGGGCAGGAGTCTCAACTGGGGTGAGTAGTGGGAATGAGGGGCTCATCTCAAATGTGCAGCTCAGACTATAGAACCAAGTTGGCATTCAGCTCTCCATTAAGCTGCTGCTTGGGGGGAGGGAGAGGGCGGGAGAGGGAGAGTGTACACAGCAGCATAGGACAGGAAACAGCAAGGAGCAACTTCTTACATGTTAATGACTTCTATTTTGCCACTAAAAATTCCTTAAAAGGGATGAATAGGGGAGAGGGAGCTGGAAATGCTGGGCACTAGATGTTGTGGGAAATGGTGAAGCAGGTGGTGAAGAAGGAAAGAAACATGTCAGTAATAAAACTGTCAAGATTTTAGGACATAAACACATGGATGAGATTTCTCTTACCAGCCTGCAAAAAAAAAAAAAAAAGTACATATTGCAAACATTTCACAACACAACCATTATCCCCGTTCCTTATAACAAAATGTACAGAAGGAGCACTCAGGAATCACATATCAACCATGTAGAATAGTAATAGAGATGCAACCATGTTAGTCTGGTCTAGCTGAAACAAAAGACAGGACTATGTAGCACTTTAAAGACTAACAAGATGGTTTATTAGGTGAGGGGGGTAATTACCTTACCCATTACAAAGATAGCTTCCCCAATTATCACTTCTAATATCATTAGCTCACAGACATTAGCCTCCCCCCCTCAGTTCTGAAATTTGATTTGTCCTTTTTATGTGTGTTCACTTTTTTTGACTGTATCCCTTTGGTATATATAGTCATGCCAATTTTCTTCCACAATTTGATCTAAGGAAGTGGGTCTTGCCCACGAAAGCTTATCACCTAATAAACCATCTTGTTAGTCCTGTCTTTTGTTTCATATCAACCATGTGGCTTAGTGGAAAAGCCATTGGACTGGGGCTATCCCTAACTCTGTCACTGGCCTGCTGGTGACCTTGGACAGTCACATCATCTCTCTGTGTCTCAGTTTCCCCCTTATAAAAGGGGGAAATGATGTAAAGTTCTTTGAGATCTACTGATGAACAGCACTATATAAAAGCGAGGGGCGGTCTACACTAGAAACTTTATCAGCATTGCTACATCTCTCAGTGGTATGAAAACTCTACTCCCTTAGGAGATGAAGCAATGCCTACCCAACCTGGGGTGTGGTCACACTAAATTAGCAGTATTTATCCATCAACCTACTTACCACCTCTCATGATGGTGGGCTAACTTCAGGGACAGGAAGAGTTTTACTATCACTGTAGTGAATATCTGCAATGAAGTGCTGCAGCTGTGCCACTGTAAAGTGTAGATTCCATTTGCTAAGCCCAACAGTCTAACAATTCACAAGTTCACTCATACAATGAACTGTGGAATATGTATTTTTAAAATATTCTTCATTACAGTTGCCATTTCTGAACTTCCATATAATCTAATGTCACATTAACTAGGATGGCAGCTCAGACATGCCTTTTCTTAATGATGATTGACCATATGCATGTTATATTTAACCCTCAGAAAAGAATGCTTGCCTCATGAGAACTTTCATACTGCTGGGCTAGCCAAAATAGGTGCTGCTGCTTTTTTTTTTTTTTAATTAGTATTAGCAAATGTTCCTGGAAACCGTCTCTCCCCTCCACTACTCATTACACCAAATAAACAAGTTGTATCCCTTGTCCATAAATGCTAGAGGAAAAATAATTAGAGCTCTGCAAATCAGTGGGCATCCACAGATGTAAATATGGCTCTTCGCAGCTCATTTTTACTGATATGGATGCAGCTATTCACATACATTTTGTATCTGTGCAGGCACTAAAAATAATTTTCTTTACTGACAATCTTACTATGTTTATAAAAATGTGCAGTCCTTTCCAACCAATTCCAAGAGAAGTCAAATTAAACCTATTACTTTTTCAAATCAGTATATCAAAATCATTGTTAATAAATTATTTACCACTTCACTGAGTGAAAACATTAGAAGGTATTTTAATGGCTTAAGTCCACAAAAGAGCCAAAAGTAAAAAAGCCTTTATTTTATGGTTTTGCATTTAATATACTATTCTTCCAGGAATGTCTTATTGTCAATTAAACAAAAGATAAAAGATGCAGCCATGCAATACTCACCACCTCCTGTTCCACATCAGAACAAACAACACTCCTGCCTCCAACTTGCACCTCAATCGGCTTATTCAGAATTCGACGAGCTAATGCCTCCATAGCTCTGGGGAAGGTGGCAGAGAACATGACTGTCTGACGATCAGGTCTGATGTTGTCTACAATGCGCATGACCTGATTGAAGGGTAAAATTAAAGTTAATACCACTGGAGTATTCTGCACAACACACAAAGACTTCACACATACACTTCTCTGTCATTTTTAAAACTAAGGAATAATTGTTTTGCACACATATAAATATCCTTTGTAAGTTTTACCTTCAGGACACTGTGTATTCTAACTGGAAAAGCAGCAGAAAAGGAAACAAAACATGGTTGGGATGCTCCAAAAGGAGCACACAACCACAAACTTCACAGTCCAAGGAAATAAGGGTAGTGGCCTTCCCAAGTCTGGAGGAGTAAGTGTCCCTTGATGTAGTTTAGAAGCTCCAAACTGCCTGTGAATGGGGGCCCAACCATCCAGATTCACTGTAGTGATATAGTACTTTCCTTTCCCAAGGCTTATCCAAGGAGATAATGGAGCCTCCGAGACAGCCTTCAATGCCTGTTCTGAGGGAATAATCCCCCCAGCCAGTTATATGGCTACAGAGGGCTTCAACAGCCCATTTCAGGTCTCTAAATACATACATACATACATATATATATATATTTATATTTATTTTACTGGGGAAATTCACACATGCTTTCCAACGCTGACAAGAAGTTATTGGGTAACTCTAAGTATGCCATGATTAAGGCTATGATTTAGTCATGGATATTTTGTAGAAAAACAGGTCACATGCAATACACAAATAATCATGATAAATACCCCTGACTAAATCTTGGGGGACAGTGTTCTTGAGAAGCCAGCAGCATCAGCTTCCTGGGGCTGCCAAACACCGGCTGCTCAGGCAGTTTTAGGGCCAGCTGTACCAGCTGTTGCTCAGGCAAATCCTGGGGCCAGCCACCAGCCACTACTTAGGTGGCCTTTGAGTCAATCACACGGGCTACTGAAGAAGTCAGGGAGGTTGCAGAAGGTCATGGAATCTGTAACCTCCGTAACCTCTGTGACTGACACAGAGTTCTAGCCATGATCGATCAATGCAAAAACTGAGTCAGCTGATAAATTGTTACCCAAAACCAATATGCTTTGCTGACCAAGTGTTGATAGCCTCATATATGACAGTACTGATAGGCAGATTTAATTCACTTAATTCCCCCCCACACACAAAACTTACTTCTATCCTGCAAAATCCTTTAAGCAACAATAATGTCCTGAAGCCTAACATGATGTTAAGTCACTGCATTGCCATCTCTCCTTTCCCACTAAAGTTAAAATCCACATTACCTGTGGTTCAAAACCCATGTCAAACATTCTGTCTGCTTCATCCAGTACAACATATGTAACTCTCCGAAGGTTTGTCACCCGACCTGTGAAAAAGGAGAGGAAAAAAAGAGGAAACAACATCAAAAAGACGTCTCTTTCCCCTCATGGGTAATTATAAATAAAATGTTAAGTATTCTGACTATCTTCTAGCATACATATACAAGTTAAATAGATTTTTTATTTTAAATTTCTTATTAACATATACAAGTTAAATAGGATAGATTTTTTATTTTAAATTTCTTATTCTAATAACATACACATTCTGGCAAATGTGTAAGGATGCACAAGGCCCTTTATTTTGTCAAACTCTTCTCTTGCGTACCATCATAGGGCCAGAAGAACCTGTAAAATTCAGAAAACAGCCCTCGCCAAAACACATCATAAAACTAAGACTGAGATGAAGCAACGAGCCACATCAGCCATTATCTGACAGCTCCACCTAGGAAAAAACATATTAGAGATTACAGCGTATGTGTGGAAAGCAATGTTCCAGTTCTAACTGATGAAGCCTCATAATATTGCCCTCCATATTACAATCTGCAATGCCACACTGGATTTAGAAATGACTTGAGGATATTCATAACTATTTGTAGTTAACTGCTAACAGCACAAATAATAAAGTGTAACCAACATTTTACTAACAAACACATACAGATTAAAACCTGTCTATTAAAGCAGCCAAGTCAAAAAGTAATAAGAACCCCAGTCTTTGGTACAAGTGGAATTAAAGCAAGTACAAAAAGTGTACATCTGTACACACAGTTCATTTTGTAATGGTCATGGATAAAGCAATTTACTAGTCTTCCCAAGCAGTGAAAAAAGGTACATCTTAACTAGTGAACATAAAACACTTAGAAGTGAAAAAAGTGAATTAAATCATATTATCTTTAAAACATATTGACACAAGAATACACTGCGTTTCACACAATAATTGTGATAGTTTGTTGTCTGTTTTCAGACTCCAAGAAGGATTTTTCAAATTTCCCTGGTACCTTTATCAAATTATGTAAGGACCTACTACTTTTAAATTTAAAACTACAGATGTGTCAAGTCCTTAAGTTACTATTTTTTAAATATCATACAATACTTTAAGATGTTCAGGTCACACTTTTTCTTAAAAATCTACATATTTAACATGTTAATATTTTCATCCTCAAATAAAAACTCTTTAAAATTACTTGGGAACAGCATTAATGTACCTACCTTTGACGATTTATGTCTTGGAAGCCCAGTTCTATAAGTCTTGAGGGACTTTTTCCACAGAAGTTAAATAATGTCAACAGTTTATTAGTGGTTTGATATGGAATATTTTAATAATCAAACTTTGTCTAACAGCATGCAATGATAACAGTAAGCCAAAGCCTCTTCAAGCTGCAGTATCTCATTTTAACCTACCCAGGCATTTGATCTAGGAAGACACTAGTTTTAAATTTTTAAACAGAAGGTCATTCAAATAACAATTTTTGATTTTTAGCAACAAAGTCAGGGTCTTCTGTACAGCTAAGTCTATTTCAGGCAAAAGTGAACTGCTGTTAAATTGTGCAAATGTTGAAGTTCAGTTATTGGGCAATGGGATATCAAATAAGTGAGAATTACATAAATAAGTCTTTAATTACAAGCTTATCTACATGACAAGTTACTCCACAGCAAGCTAGGCTGTGAATCCATAGCATAACAGCTTGCTGAGCAGTAATGTCCCAGTGAATATTGCTACAGCACACTGAAAATGAGAGGGACTTGGCTTACCAGTACTTCCAAGTATAGGAAACCAAGCCAGTCTTTAGGATTTTTAAATTACCTTGCCATGTGGATAAGCCCTAAATCATGCAAAAGTACCAGAAATTTGGAGTACAGAGTTATAAACTGACTGTGCATATAAAAACTCTTAGAAATTCTTCAAGCATCGTACAATGCCTTTCATTCAAAATGAAGTTGCTAATTGAATAGAACCATTTTCATTGCTGTACATTCTGAAATGCCATATAAATAGATATCACAGCTTCAAGAGATATAAATAAATACCAGAAGACTATTTATCAAAACACACGATCTCCTGAATTTATTAGAATTACAAAATATATAAAAAAATCTCTCTAAAGGAGTCAAGTTTCTACTCACCATTGTTAGCGGCTAACATGTCAATCATACGTCCAGGTGTGCAAACAATAATTTCAGCACCTCTTTTTAGTTCAGCAATCTGTTTTTAAAAACAGATAATTTAATTTAACAAACCATTTGAAGTTTACGGCTAGCAGAGACTGAATGATGTACGTAATTTTTTTCTGTCACAATGATTAACCATTCCTATTTAATGATAATTTACAACAATAGAGTATTGTTAATCTATTTGAAGTTTTTGTATGGCAATTTCTTTAGTATTTGGAATTTACTTTTAAAACAATGATTTGTGAAGACCTGCAGTAACTTGAAGCTGCTACAATCTGGAGCAGTGCACACAAAAGGGCTACAATTATTATGCAAATGTTCATCCGTATATTAAGATAAGCTTCGCATATTAAGACAATTCATGTTAGGTTTTTAAGATTTCTCCACAGCATACATCTGTGAATATATTAAGCTCCATTACATATGATTACAAAATTTATAAATCCTATAAATTCCTTGGATTAACAATATTGAGTAACTTAAAAATTAATCCATCAAGTTTTATTAAAACTAATCCATCAAGTTTTATTAAAAGTCAAAAAGCATTACTTGCTAATGACAAATCAAATTAAGAATTCCTCAGCCTTCTTTTTTGAGACTGAGATATCAGAAAAGTTAGGAAACTTTCTGGAAACAGGAAACCCTTATTTCAAACCATCATAACCCACAAATACTTTGTTTAATTACCACCAAACCATATATATTAAAAAAAAAAAAAAAAAATCACATGGGCCCATACAGGAGAAACTTCAAACAGACTGACTTCTGACAATGTACGTTTGAGTTCACATGCAAAGGACAGGTACTGCTGATGGTGGTATTAAGGAGCAGGTTTTTAAAAGAAATCTAACTACAGTCAGTCCCCGGGTTACGCGGATCCGACTTATGTCGGATCCGCACTTACGAACGGGGCTTTTCTCGCCCTGGAGGACGCGGGCGGCAGGACCGCCCAGACGCGCCGCAGTCCCACCGCCCGCGTCCTCGGGGGCGAGAAAAGCTGCTCCGCGTCTCCCTGGTCTGCCACTGCTGCTCCGCCCCCCCTTCCCCAGCAGACCAGGGAGACGGGGAGCAAAGCCACGGAGGACCCGGGCGGCGGGACCACGGCGCGTCTCGGTCCGCCGCCCGTGTCTTCCTGGTCTGCTGGGGTGGGGGGGGGGCAGCGAGTA